CCCGCCACTTCCGGCATATGAGTCTGGTGCCCTACTCCTTTGAGCCACAGGCACCACCCTTATCTGACTTTTATTTTTTAGAGACAGGGTCTTGCTCTGGAGTGCAGTGGCTTGATCATAGCTCAGTTTAACTCGGAACACCTGGGATCAAGCAGCTGTCCTGCTTCAGCTTCTCAGTGACCTAGGATTGGAGGCACATGTCATCACTCCCTGCTGATTTTCCTTTTACTCCCTGCTGATTTTCCTTTTTTTTTTTGCAGTTTTTTTTGGCTGGGGCTGGGTTTGAATCCACCACCTCTGGTATAGTGGGCCAGAGCCCTACTCCTTTGAGCCACAGGTGCCACCCCCCCTCCTTTTTTTGAAACAGAGTCTTAAGCTATTGCCCTCATAGAGGGCTGTAGTGTCACAGCTCACAGCATCCTCAAACTCTTGGGCTTAAGTGGTTCTCTTGCCTCAGCCTCCTGAATGGCTGGGACTACAGGTGCCTGCCATAATACCTGGCTATTTTTTTTTGTTGCAGTTGTCATTGTTGTTTTACGTGGCCCAGGCCAGGTTTGAACCCACCAGCCTTGGTGTATGTGTCCAGTGCCCTACCCACTGGTCTACGGGTGCCACCACCTGCTAATTTTTCAAATTGTTTTTTTATGGAGATGGAGTCTCCTTATGTTGGCCAGGCTAATCTCAAACTCCTGGCCTACAGTGATGCTCCCACCTCAGCCTCTCAAAGTGCTGGGATTACAGATGTGAGTCACCAAACCAATATCTATTTTAGTAAATTTTACTTTCATTTAAAGCAGGGAGTTGTAAACTTAAATACTGTTAAGAGACATGACTAAGCAGGCAGTTAGGTAGGTAGAAGACAGGGAGAGGTGGGGACTTTGTCATTTGAAAAACTCATTTCCATTTAAAGATACTCAAATTATAATTATTTAAAAAATACACTATGTTGAGTGGCACTTGTGGCTCAAAGGAGTAGGGTGCTGGCCCCATGTGCTGCAGGTGGCAGATTCAAACCCAGCCCCAGCCAAAAAAAACTGCAGAAAAAAAAATACTATGTCACAAAGCCCAACTTGTGATCTTTTCTTTTATACAGTAGAGTTTTAAGGGAACAGTGAAGAGAATGGATATTTTTTTTTCTTTTTTGAAAAACTGCTGTCATTTTCCTTTTTTTAAAAAAATTGAGACAGAGTCTCACTATGTTGCCGTCCGTAGAGTGCCGTGGCTATTTTTTTGTTGTAGTTTCTGTTGTTTAGCAGGCCTTAGGCCTAAACACCTGCCTGCCCAGTGTGTGTGGCCAGCGCCCTAACCACTGAGCAACAAGTGCTGAGTCTTTTATTTTCCTTTCAAGTTTTAGTTTTCTTTTTAGTCTTTTTAATTTAAATTTTAGTTTTTAACTGTCTAATACTAGCAATTTGAAATTGAGATGAAAGAAGTAGAAATAAGGCTTCTTCTTCCAGATGCACAGGTTGGGATGACCTGGGATATTTTTATAGTGTGTTTTTATACCCTTTTATTTGTTTCTTCACCTGTGAAATGAAGTAATAAAACATGCTTCATTTCCTCTGGAAATTTTGTGGGTGAATGACAGTTTATTGCAGTGTTCTGTTAGTTTTGAAGGTGACCCTTAAACTTAAAATTTTAATTGATTTTCACAAAAGACTTTGGAAATAGTTTTTCTATGATTTGTCACATTGACCCTTTTAAAATCTGTTTAGGGTCGAAAGGAAACAGAAGAGGGAGGAACATTTTCATCTGTCCAAGCCAATTTAAGTAAAGCAGAAAAACACAAATATCCTCATAAAGGTAATACTAGCAGAAAAAGATGAAGCCCTTGTTTTTATAGAATAAAATTCATAAGAACCTTGTTTAAACATTGTATTTAATGATTGTATTGTAGGTAACATTGTTTCATAGGACTATCAGAGCATGTTCTAAGTAGGCACTTTGAATGCTATTTGGATACTGTAACAACTAGTGCAAGCAGAATGCCCCTCTGCTCTGAGGTGGTTGTGAGAAATGTGTTAACAGCCCTTGGGCTTCTTATTAATTTCCAAGTCTAGTGCATCACTTACACTTCAACATATGAAGACTAAGAAGTAGGTGTTTTGAGCTTTTCATATTAGAGATGTTTCTTAGAGTTGACCCATAGTTGGCTAGATCATTGGAGCTCTTCTGCTGACTGTAGGTTTTATTCTTTAGTGGTCCTTATGTCAGACCCCCTGCTAATGTAGATGGTTTTGATCCTGTAAGTAAATCTGCTTATAATTTACTATAATCCAAGAGTGTCCAGCCTGTGGCCCATGGGCCACATGCTGATTTTGTGAGGACTTTGCTTCTTCATCTGTGGGGTACGATATCATGAAAAGTATGCAGGGACCTTTTTTTTTGCTTATCAGCTTTTGTTAGTGTTTGTGTATTTACTGTGTGACCCAACACAACTACTATTCTTCCCAGGTGTGGCAGAGCAAAAAAAAAGCTTGGACATCCCAGCAAACATATGGTCTTGACACCTTAGGATATTGGATCTTTAGGCTATATTTCAAACATAGCATTTTTATGGGACATTCCCGTCAGTAACTTTTCTCTGTAAATTTGAGAGATTATCTCTGAAATGAAGTTCATATCTGTAAATACAGTTTACAACTGGTTATACCAAGAGGTAGTATATAGATGTTTAATTTTTAAAAATAAGTATGCTGTATAAGCTGAGGAATTAAAATATTGATGTTTTGAAATTAGCATATGATATTCTGTGTTACTAAGTCTATTTAGTTTAAAAATGAAAAAAAAAGTTGATATTGGCCAGCATATCATTTTCCAAAACAACAATCATCATCTTTTCTTTTTTCCTAGTCAGAACAGAACAATTTTCAGATGAAAGAAAGAGCCACAGTCCTAAGACGCCAACTAAACGTGAAAGTTTAATAGAAACTCAGCAACATTCCAAGCCATCAACTCCCAAGACAGGACAGTCCTCTTCTCCAAAGGCCAGTTCTAAGCAGGCACTTATGAATAAAAAAGAGAGCTCTTATAAAGAAACAGAGCCTGCAACCTCAAAAAGAAAAGAAAATGCCATTGAATTGAAAGGAGAGACAAAAACTCCGAAGAAAAACAAAAGTTCTCCAGCCAAAAAAGAGGTAGGAGCTTTCTAAGAAGTATTATAGTAGCCTCCCTTATCTGTGGTTTTGCCTTCTGAGGTGTCAGTTCTTGATGATCAACTGTGGTCTGGAAATATTAATTGGAAAGTTAAAACAATAATTAATGAAAACAATAAGGTTAAAATTGTGCATCATTCTGTGTAGCATGATGAAATCTCTGCCTGTCCTGCTTCGTCCTGCCCTGGATGTGACTCATCCCTTTCTCCAGCTTATCCGCATTATATAACACATGCTGCCCGGTAGTCACTTGGTAGCTGGCTCAGCTATCAGATAGAAAAAACACGGTATATCTAAGTATATGTGGGGCTTATTCATTGCTTACAGTCTGTAGTTTTAGGCATCTGCTGAGTGTCTGGGAATGTATCTCCTGTGGATAGGGATATAATGTTTGTATTTTGGGGCTGTGTTGATCTGAGTTTGTTTTTAGGTTTTAGTTCTAACTCCATAAGTCATTATAGTACTTCTGAGATACTATCTTATTTAGAAGCTGTTGTGAAATATAGATTACTAATATAGGTAAATTGGCCAATGTTTATTGTTTCTGTGTATCAGCTATTATGCTCATACTTTATATATGATATTCATGTAATCTTCACAACAACCCTGTGAGATATTTACTTTTATTATTCAACTTTTAAAGATGACAAAAATTCAAGTAACTGTTCCAAGATCACCCAGCCACTGAGCAGGCAGGGCCAGCCTCGAACTCAGGTCCTCTGAAGATAAAAATAGTAGTATGGCATTGTCCCTCCAAGCCCTTGACGCTGGAATGACTGTTAAATCTTAGCCCTGCCACTGAGGAGATGGATGACCTTGTTCCGCTTACTTCCCCATATTTATAAAATAGGAATAATGATAGTACTTGACGAGTTAATAGGTAAAACCACTTAGAACAGTGCCTGGGACCTAATATGTGCTATATAAGTTTTAGCTGTTATTACTAAAATAATTTAGATTTGTTCTTAATTGTTGATATACTAAAATCATTTTCACAGGAAAAACTGAAATAATGCTTTTCAAAAGTTTTCTTCGTTTTCAAATATATTTGAGAAACTAATATCCTCTTTGAATCTCTGATTTGGAACCACTTTAGGTTCCTAATGAGAAGCCTATTTCTTCATGCCTGTTAGGCACTTAAAATAGACAGCATTCTGCTTTTGTAAATTCTAAGTGCTTATCACCATTATTTTTTAATGCAGAACAGTGAAAGGGTGATGATTTCAAAATGCTTTTGTTGGCATTGCTCATAAATATGCTTAAAGGAGCAATTAACTTTTTGGTCTCAGATTTTTCTTCACTAAATGCTTATCTGGTGGCTGAATGTTTTCCTTATTTTCTTTTTTTAAGGAAAGCACGAAACAGAGTTCATTGAAAAAGATGGATTTACAGAGTAAGAGCAAGATATTTTTCCCACAGACAGCGAGTAGGCCCCGTTGTCATGACCAGGACAAGGCAGAGGCCAGAGGGACATTTTCTTCCTGCACACTAAACATGTTCAGTTCATAAAGGCTGTTTTTATGAAAAAGTCTTTAAATGATACTGTTACTCTTCACTGTATTTTTAAAAATTGGAACAGAAATAACTCAGAACTTAAGCAGTTAATTTAATAAATTTAATAAATTCATTTGGTCTCAGTCAAATAATTCAGACTTCATAAATGGGTATGCTTCAGAGTTACTTTGTCAGTTGTTTATAAGTCAGGTTTCATAGAGTTAATGTTATAAATGAATCAGTCCCTATGGATTAGACTCTCTTGCAAAGCCTGTTAAAGTTATGGTTTCCCAGGACATGTGGTCCTGGCAGCTGTATTTTAATCAGCTCTTGGTATGATATTAAGGCACACTAACGTTTGAGAATGATCGTTAAAAAGGAGGGTTGGATTCTAGGCCCAGTCCACAGTGGCTTATTTAACTTATAACCAAACTAGCTTACTTATTTTGTTGGTTTATTTATGTATAAGGAAGTATTTTATCTCTTCTCAAAGGGATGTATGGTAGCTTACAAGTTAAAAATAATGTTATAGGGTAAAATAGGAAGTAGAAAAGATAACAGAGACCATCTTGTAATGATTCCTAAGTCAGAATCATCTAGACTATTTTTTCACCTAGATACACCTTTCCTGGCCATACCCCATATCTCTGAATCAGAAACTTGTAGGCCAGGGATACATAGTTTGAAAATTTTTCCCAGGATTTTTTGACATATACTTGTGTAAAATCCCCTGGGAGAAACAGAAGGGAAGAGATTAAACATCGAAAGGTAAACGGTGGTATGTAGAATGCTCTTTGGAGTAAAGCTTGCGCCTTCTCTGAGTTGGCTGTTTATGTAAAACCTTTGATTCTCAGCCTGGAGTGCCTGTCTCCCTAGTGACACAGGGTAGTGCAGGGGTGTGCAGGGCCATAGGATTACCCTAGGATGTATTTTTGGGTGATAAGATTTACTTAGGGGAAAATTCATTTTTCTGTTCAAATAAACTTAGATATATCATGGAATAGAATTTAAAATTCACATGAATTGGGTGGTGCCTGTGGCTAAGTGGGTAGGGCGCCGGCTCCATATACCGAGGGTGGTGGGTTCAAACCCAGCCCTGACCACATTGCAACAAAAAAAATAGCCGAGCGTTGTGGTGGGCGCCTGTAGTCCCAGCTACTCAGGAGGCTGAGGCAAGAGAATCGCCTAAGCCCAGGAGTTGGAGGTTGCTGTGAGCTGTGATGCCATGGCACTCCTACCAAGGGCAATAAAGTGAGACTCTGTTTCCAAAAAAAAAAAAAATTCACATGAATTTCTTTGTTTTGTTTTGTTTTTGAGACAGAGTTTTACTTTTGCCACCCTCTCTAGAGTGCTGTGGCATCATAGCTCACAGCAACCTCGAACTCTTGGGCTCCAGTGATCCTCTTGCCTCCACCTCCTAAGTAGCTGGGAGTACAGGTGCCCACCACAATGCCTGGCTATGTTTAGAGATGGGGTGTTGCTCTGGCTCAGGCTGGCCTCAAACCCATGAGCTCAGGCAATCTACCTGCCTCAGCCTCTCAGAGTGCTAGGATTACAGGCATAAACCACTGTGCCTAGCATGAATTCTTAAATAAAACACTTTTCCATTTGTTTGCTTGGAGATGGCAACCTGGCTTCTACCCCTAATCTCTCCTGAGGTATGTGCCGTTGGAGAGAGGAGAATGTTCTGAGAAGGTGTGGTGCAGAGATGTTTGTAAGTTGGGGAGTACCTGTATAGCTAAAACTGTTAATTTTAGGACTAACTACAAAAGTGACTTAATGTTTTTTTCTATACAGGTAGTCTTAATTTTACATGAATTTTGTATGACTATATTTAATTTCCTTTTCCCTCTCCCTAAAGTCTGTAAGTCCTGAAGATGCTGAAAAGAAACGTAGTAATTATCAAGCTTATCGAAGTTACTTAAATCGAGAAGGTCCCAAAGCTTTGGGCTCCAAAGAAATACCAAAGGTAAGAGCACTGAGAGGGCTGCCGCTCCGTGAAGGCCTCCACCCTGTGGGGGTCCCTGTGTGAAGTGTGTGTTCACTGTGCTTAGAGCAGCAGAGAATTAATAATTAGAAATTAGTAATATCATGAGAGACTTGCAACTGGGGCAAAATTTAAAAGAAAAACAGAAAAGCCCCAGTCACCATTTTCATGAATTAGGGATGTTTATTTGCACTATAAATGCTTGATACCTAGAAAAAACATTTTTTTTAAGTTTTTTTTTTGTAGAGACAGAGTCTCACTTTATTGCCCTCGGTAGAGTCACACAGCTCACAGCAACCTCCAACTGTGAGGCGATTCTCTTGCTTCAACCTCCCAAGTAGCTGGGACTATAGGTGTCTGCCACAATGTCTGTTTTGTTTTTTTTTTTTGTTGTTGTTGTTGTTGCAGTTGTCATTATTGGTTAGCTGGCCTGGACCAGGTTCAAACCCACCACTTTCAGTGTATGTGGCTGGCGCCGTAACCACTGTGCTGCAGTAGATCATTTCAATTCTAGAACTGTAGGGCCTGAAGAGACTTCAAGAGCATGTTGGTCAAACCTTTTTCTTTTCAAGCAGATGAAAGTTATTTGTTTTCCTAAGAAAGTTTCTTCACTTTGATGGTGAGGAATTGAACTTGTATTGAGCCAGGTTTTGAATTTTGTCTAGTTTCTTTTCAAGCATATTTTAAGTTTGTGTTGATTTCAGTTCTTGAATCAAGGAGTAATAAGTAACTAGGGATCATATATAATTTTTATTTTCATTTTTCTTAGTTGTATAATTTTATTGAGCCACTGAAAAAAATACAAAAGTCTCTATCTGTAATTCTGATTAAGATTGAACATCTGCATTCAGCTCTTTGTGGCTAGGATCTCTTATATTATCAGAGTAGTTTCTAATCGGGGGATATATGATCTTGCTTTTAATTTACTAGCAGGTTGCTAGATTTATTATCAGCAGAGAGAAGTATTCAGCAGAGAGGAGGATAAGAGCTAAAACTTGTTAAGCCTCTTAGAATCAAAACTCCCTTTTTAACAATGGCATGAGTTTCTGTAGGTGGATTACATTTGATTGTTTAGCAGTTCACATATAAAGAGGGCATTATGGAAAATAGTATGAAGGGGTAAATTTAGTGAGCTTTGCTAACAATATTGGCTGTATGCTTTTCATTGCTTGTTTTGTAAGTTTATTAAATGTTAGCTACATAAGAATTTCTTAGGATTTAATCTCAGGTTCTGCTTATTTGTCATAACTTTCCAGCAAACTTTCCATGCTGAGGTTATTTATGATGTCAAATGGGAAAAATCAATTTTCTATGATTTTGATGCCAAATATTTCTTTGGAAAACTACCATACAATTTCCTCTCTGCTTGAACATTTTGTTTTTTAGGGAGCTGAAAATTGCTTGGAAGGCCTCATCTTTGTAATCACAGGCGTGCTGGAGTCCATTGAACGAGATGAAGCCAAGTCTCTCATTGAACGTTATGGGGGGAAAGTAACAGGAAACGTCAGCAAGAAAACCAGCTACCTTGTCATGGGCCGGGACAGTGGGCAGTCCAAGAGTGACAAGGTGGGTACTGCTGTGAAACCAGCTACCTTGTCATGGGCCAGGACAGCGGGCAGTCCAAGAGTGACAAGGTGGGTACTGCTGTGAAACCAGCTACCTTGTCATGGGCCGGGACGGCGGGCGGCCCAAGAGTGACAAGGTGGGTACTGCTGTGAAACCAGCTACCTGGTCATGGGCTGGGACAGCGGGCGGCCCAAGAGTGACAAGGTGGAACTGCTGTGAAACCAGCTACCTGGTCATGGGCCGGGACGGCGGGCAGCCCAAGAGTGACAAAGTGGGACTGCTGGGCTCTCTTTTTTTCATGTTTTGTTGGTTTTTTGCTCCCCTGTGTGTTCTCACCACAGTGGCGCAGCCTGCTTGCTGTGCACACTCTTGATGGGACTGTTTGTACCATTGCCCTTTACACAGTTTAAAAAAAAAAAACAGAAAAGCAATTTCTTGTGTTATTTCTTCTCCACAGTAGTCTTATTGGTTTTAGCTCCAGGATTTTGGTTTTCTGGTTAAAGGCACAGTTCCTGTTCATTTGACTTCCTTAGGGTACTCTAGTTTATATCTTTTTTTTTTTTTTTTAAGAGAGAGACAAATGCAGTTTTCTATTTTTCCAGACCCAGGTATTCCTGTATATGTTATATTTTTTGGTGGAAGCTCTTAAGGGAAGAGTCAGAGGTCTGGTGGTTAGGATTACGTTTAGCTCCAGGTAACAGAAGACCTAGCTAAGAGTGGTTTAAGCAAACATCTGCTTATTTTCTTCACCAAACAAGAATTCTGGAGGTAGGCAGTTCCTGGGATGGTTCATCGGCTGTGGAACGAGGCTGGCTGTCCCCTGCCTCTGTTGTCCCTACTGTGTTAGCTTTTGTCAACTTGCAAGGCAGCTGCAGTTCTAGGCTTTCAAGGCAGGAAGAGGGAGCAGGGGCAGATGTCATAATAGTTGTGACTGGCCTGACGGGAGTTCTCTCAGAAATACCTTGTGTAGAATTCTATTTAAGTCTCATTGGCTAGAGCTGTCAGATGGCCATTTGGAGCTGTAAGGGAGGTTGGGGAGGATCAGGACTTCTCTGATCACCTTAGACCAGTCATAGCCCATTCCTTGTAGGTGGACACATTGGAGTTCTGGTTCCAGGAAGAAGCGGGTGGGTAATGCCTGCTGTATGAGTCAAACATGGGAGAGAGTGTAGAAGCTGGACTTAGGGACTAGTGGTTTGCCTTTTTCTAGGGGAAGGAAAGGTAAAACAATCTGCAAAATTAGTAATGTCACACTTTGCCACTCTTAGGGAGTGTATCTCTTACAGAGTTCTTCAGAGTGTCTCTCTGTCACCCTGGGTAAAGTGCTGTGGTATCATAGCTTACAGCAACCTCCAACTCCTGGGCTTAGGCTGTTCTCTTGCCTCAGCCTCCTGAGTAGCTGGGACTACAGGCACCTGCCCCAGTGCCTGGCTATCTTTTTGTTGCAGTTTGGCCAGGGTTGGGTTTGAACCCGCCACCCTTGGTATGTGAGGCCAGTGCCCTAATCACTGAGCCACAGGTGCCGCCCATGTTCTTTTTAATGGTGCTTTTTCAATGACTGTGTATTCCAGTGCTATTTATCTAACTTACAAATGTCATTTTTCACCTACTAATAGTCCCTAGAATCATGTTTTTGTTTTTCACAGAAAGGAATTGTTAGGATGCAGTTTTGATGATTTATACTTTTAATCAACAGGCAGCAGCCTTGGGGACAAAAATTATTGATGAAGATGGCCTACTGAATCTGATCCGAACTATGCCAGGCAAGAAGTCCAAGTATGAAACAGCATTTGAAGCTGAGGTTCGTGTAAAATGCCTTGATTGAGGTCAGAAGCGGTGGTCCACACCTAGAATCCTAGCACTGTGGGGGGCCAAAACACAAGAGGATTGCTTGAGGTCAGGAGTTCAAGACCAGCCTGGGTGATGAACCAGATCTTGTCTCTCCAAGAACTTTAAAAAACTTATCTGGGTGTGGTGGCATGCCCTTTCGTAGTCCTAGCTACTTGAGAGCCTGACCCAAGAATATTCCTTGAGCCTGGAAGTATGCGGTCGAAGTGAGCTATGATCTGCATTCCAGATTGGGGTGATAGAGCAAGACCCTATCTTTTAAAATAATAATAACAACTTGATTTATTTAAATTGGTATCTAGTAACTGTTTTATTTCATTAAAAAATTGTTTATTTCATGAAACAGTTGCTAGGGTGGATATATGCCTATTGGCAGAGAGATAAAGCTCCCTCCTTACTGCAGTCTGTCTGTCTGCCTTGTGAGCTAAAGGACTCTGTTTCAGGACGTCTACTCTAGTGTATTTCCTTACCTTTTGCAAAGGAGTATGAGGAAAGAGAGAGGGAGGACAGTGAACTACATAAACATATCAACTTATTAGACTTTCTTTATTTCTCATATGCCCCCCGCCCCTTAAGACGGGATTCTTTCAGTTCCCTGGGCTAGAGTGCAGCAGTGTCGTCATAGCTACAGCAGCCTCATACTCCTGGGCTCTAGTGATGCTTCTGCCTCAGCCTCTCAAGTAGCTGGACTACAGGGCCTGCCAGCTTGTTCGGCTGATTTTTCTATTTTTTGCTGAGGCTGGTCTTACATCCTGGCCTCAAGCAATTCTCCTAGCTCAGCCTCCCAAAGTACTGTGATTATAGGCGGTAGCTACCAGGCCCGTCTATTTTTCATATTCTTATGTTGACTTCATGCAAAAGATACTGCTTAAGAGTTCCTTAAAGGATATGTTAATAGATATCAGCATGGTATGTTCATTCCAGTTAGAACTATATGAGGACTTCTTCAGTTGTGACAGAAAACTGTCCTATATTAATTAACTTTAGCAAAGAAGGAAAAATGATGGCTCACAGAACTGAACTATGGGCAGGGTGGACTGGTCTGGAACGATGGGATTCGGAGACTGCAGTGCTTTGAGGATTTTTTCAGTGCTTGTCTTTCCATTTCTCCTAACTTTAGCCACCTTTTACTATGTACCAGCCTTTTCTACATGTAGGGCAAAGGGGTGCCAGCATCCCCAAATTAATGTCCCCAGCTCTGTCATACTAGTGGCAATATGGTCCTATCAGTTTATTCCTGTTAGAAAAATCCTAGGGCATGATTTGGATTACATACCACAGCATAGTTATAAAACCCAGAAAATTAACATTGATTACTATATTGTTCCTTTTTTTTTTTTTTTTTCAATAGAGACAGGGTCTTGCTCTTAGGCTGGTCATGAGCTCCGGCGCTCAGGCAATCCACCTGCCTCGGCCTCCCAGAGGATACTGTACTACTGTTAAACCATCCATGTCATTGAACTTGACATTTTCCCATCCTTTCTCCGTTCTGTGATCGCACACTGCATTTAGTGGTGTCTTCTTAGGCTGCCCGTCTGTGATTGTCGTTCAGTCTTTCCTTGGTGTCTTATGACCCTGATACTCTTGATCAGTACCAGTTTTGTAGAATGTCTCTATTTGGGTCTGTGATCTTTTTTTCATGATTAGATTGAGATTATGCATTTTTGTACCAGAGAAGTGATGGTGTGTCCTTCCCAGTGCATCATGTCAGTTATGCAGATGTCAGTGTGTTCTGGATTTCTTCTAGTGAAGTGACTGTTTTCCCCTTTGTAGTTGATAACTATACCCTTTTACTCTGCAAACCTTCTTCTAAAACTTTTAGCATCCAATGGCAGATAAGCACTCAGACTCTATTTATTTATTTAAAATGAGATGCATCTCTTTTTTTTTTTTTTTGGGAGATAGAGTCTCAGGCTGTTGCCCTGGGTAGAGTGCCATGGCGTCACAGCTCACAGCAACCTCAAACTCTTGGGCTTAAGCGATTCTCTTGCCTTAGTCTCCCAAGTAGCTGGTACTACAGGCACCCAATGCTGGGCTAATTTTTGATTGTAGTTGTTGTTGTTTGGTGGGTCTGGGCTGGATTTGAACCCGTCAGCTCCGGTGTATGTGGCTGGCGCCCTAGCTGCTTGAGTTGTAGGCGCAAAGCCAGCATCTCACTCTTGTTAAGGCTGGGCTTGAACTCTTGAGCTCAAGCAATTCACCCGTAGTGCCAGGATTATAGGAGTGAGCCACTGTGCCCATTTGAGGCACTTTTTTTTTCTGTATCTCCTTTGATAGAGTGCTGTGGCATCACGGCTCACAGCAACTTTAAACTTTTGGCTTAAGCGATTCTTTTATCTCAGCCTCCCAAGTAGCTTGAGACTACAGGCACCTGCCACAACGCCCAGCTATTTTTCATCATTTTAAAGTATATTTAGTACATTAACAAGAGTGAGCAACCATCACCACCGTCTCATGCCAGAACATTTTTGTCACCCCTAAAAGAAACTCTATATCCACTTGTAGTCACTCATCCTACCCACCCCTGGCTTTAGCTTCTGTTGCTACGGATTTGTCTCTGTGGACATTTCATACAGTGGAGTCATACAACACTCATTTGTAGCCTTTTGTGTCCTTTCCCTTTGGAAATAGTTTCAAGGTTCATCTCTGTTGTAGTGTGTATCCGTGCCTCACTTTCTGTTACGGGTGAATAACACTCCTTTGCATGGCTGTGTCTAATTTTGGTTAGCCATTCTTCAGGTGATGGGCATTGGGGGTTATAATCTTTTGGCTATAATTTTATACATATATAAAAAATATAATGCCAGGCACAATGGGCTCATACTTGTAATCCTAGCACTCTTGGAGGCAGAGGGGGTAGATTGCCTGAGCTCACGAGTTTGAGACCAACTTGAGCAAGAGCAAGACCCCATTTCTAAATAGCCGAGTGTTGTGGGTGCCTGTAGTCCCAGCTACTCAGGAGGCTGATGCAAGAGAATCGCTTGAGCTGAAGAGTTTGAAGGGGTAGCAGGTTAGGATGGAAATTGTGTATGACTCACTGGGTTTCTTTCCCCCTCACTTTACTACTTTTTAAGATGAAGAAAGAAAAGTCCAAATTGGAGAAAACACCCCAAAAAAATGAACAAGGAAAAAGAAAAATTAGTCCAACTAAAAGGGAATCAGAATCTAAAAAGAAGAAGCTGACGCCGAAAAGGGACATTTCGGTAAAGCCAGTACCAAAGGAAATGAGTGAGTTCAGGAGAGGCCTGGACTTCATGGAGCAGGTGGCCGAGGGGCTGAAGGCTAGGAACTTGGCTGATGACAGCAGTGAAAACAAGGTGGAAAATTTGCTCTGGGTGGATAAATACAAGCCAACCTCCCTTAAGACCATCATTGGACAGCAAGGCGACCAGAGCTGTGCCAACAAACTCCTACGCTGGCTTCGAAACTGGCATGAGAGTTCCTCAGAAGACAAGAAACATGGTAATTTCATAACTTCACCTGTTTTTATGTGTGTGTTTTTTAACATGTAATTGCTTGATTGCAATTATGTGAGAACGGGTAAGGGTCAGTCCATTCACTCATCTGCAAGCATTTATCGAGAGCTCGGTCTGAGCCCAGGTGCTGTTGTAGGCCCTGGTAGTGCTGTTGTCCTTGGGAGCTCATAGGCCATATCTGAAGCAACTATTAATATATATTGTTCTAGGCTGGGGACAGTGGCTCATGCCTATAATCTTAGCACTCTGGGAGGTCGAGGCAGGTGGATTGCTTGAGTTCAGGAGTTCGAGACCAGGCTGAGCAAGAGTGAGATCCTGTCTCTACTAAAAATAGAAAAATTGAAGCAAGAAGATCGCTTGAGCCCAAGAGTTTGAAGTTGCTGTGAGCTATGATGCAACAGCACTCTACTGAGGGTAACAAAGTGAGACTGTGTCACAAAAAGAAAAAAAAAAAGTATGGTTCTGGTGTAGGGGCAGGTAGAGGGGGGGCTGCAGGGGTGGAGGTGTGTGGTGGATGTGTGTTCCTGTCCGTGGAGGAAAGATGGAAACCAAGTAGAAAGTAGCCAGGCAAAGGGTCACAAGGCCTGAAGACAAGAGAGAGCAGGACCACTGGGAGCGTGCAGGGTGCCGGTGGGGAGGGTGCATGTGAAGAGCTGGCACGGGCATGGAGCAGGCAGTCTTGCAGCCCACCAGACCTCTGCTTCAGGCAAGGTTTGAACCCACTGCCCCTGGTGTGCGGGGCCATCCCTCTAGCCACTGAGCTATGGCCTCCAGGCTGTTACAGTTTTCTTACTCTTCGTCTGTAGCCCTGGGGGATAACGGATAACAAATAAGAAGGGAAGATGTAGTGAGCATCATGGGGAGCCCTTGGAGTGTAACTGGGTTAGGAATACACAGGTGGTTGTTAGACATTGCCAATGATGCGGGTTTATTTATATTAGTTAGGTCATATAATTGTGATGACATAGGTTAGATTTAAATGTTTTTCTCTTTCTGAAACCAGTTAAAATCTTCCTTAAAAGATGGACAACTGTTTCATGTACCTGGAGAAGACTTTTTAAAATATAAAAAACCCCAAACACTTCTTTTTCTCTTTTGTAGAGATAGGTTTTCTGCTCTGTTGCCTCAGCTGGAGTGTGGCATCCTCATAGCTCACTGCAGCCTGGAACTCCTGGGCCCAACTGATTTCCTCCCTCCCTCCCAAGTAGTTGGGATTACAGACATGTGCCACCACCATGCCTGGCTATTTTTTTTTATATTTTTGTAGAGACTGGTCTCATTGTGTTGTCCAGACTTGGAAAGACTTGTTTTAAGGCTTCAGGTCCGTCTTGGCAAGAGGTTTAACTATGTATCTCTCAGTATTATAATGATTGAGCATGATTTATGTTCCCGGGTGGAGGGAGAAGTGTATTCTAGGTTCAGTGGTGCGAGGCAGTTGCAGACATAGCAGCTTCAATTTCTTATTTCCTTTTGTGACCATGTAGCTTGATTGTACTTTTTTTTTTTTTTTTGAGACAGAGTCTCACTTTGTCACCTTTGGTGTAATGCCCTGGCATCATAGCTCTCAGCAACCTCAAACACTTAGGCTCAAGTGATCCTCTTGCCTCAGCTTCCCGAGTAGCTGGGACTACAGGCGCCCACCACAACGCCCGGCTATTTTTAAGAGGCAGGGTCTCGCTCTTACTCAGGCTGGTCTCCACCTGTGAGCTCAGGCAGTCCGATTGTACTTGCTAATGTTTGTTGAGGCGCGTCAGGCTCTGTGCTCTGCCCTTCTGTCTTCACAGCGTCCCCACAGCTACTCGACTGTTGTTCTCATTTTACAAAGGAGAAGACAGGCACAGAGGGGTTAAGTCATTTCTGAAGTACTCGCAGCGGGCGGTGGAGTTAGGGTTGTTGGAGTTAGCTGCTCCCCTGCATTTTAGGAAAGGAAACTCATAAAATTACAATAACACAGATTTTAAGGTGAATTAGTTTTAGCTTCTTATTTGGGGTAGAGGTGAGGTAGGGAGTAGAATTTCACTAAATGCTCTGAAACTGTTTATGCCCTGTAAAAATATTCTGCAAATTTAGAACTTAATAGGAGGACTGCTCTCTGTGAAGTTTATGCCCGACTCTTCCTGCCATTCCTGAATTTCTTTTAGGTGATGAGGGTTAACCCTCTGGAACTTCTTTTTTCCTAGCAACAAAGTTTGGTAAATTCGCTGGCAAAGATGACGGCTCTGGCTTTAAAGCTGCATTACTCTCAGGGCCCCCCGGTGTTGGCAAAACCACCACAGCTTCTCTGGTGTGCCAGGTGGGTTCTCTGTCACAGTGTGGTTGGAAAGGTAACCTCGGAATGGTCATGTGTAGGAGACACGTGTGTGTGTGTGTGAGTCCCTGTGTGGGTATGTATAAATCTATTGTGTATAATTTTCTAAAATCAAACTTTTAGAATTTGCTTTGGTCCTGGTGATATTTGTCTTTTTCATTCTTTTAGAATATTGGCAATTATAATAATAAGTAAGGTTTACACTTGGGTACATTATCTTATAGATGACAAATACATATTATAGATCCTGAAAGGTATAGATGGATATCTTATATACCTTTGTAATAATTCTGTGTTCTCAATATTTGTACTTTAGTATGAAAAAGGATGAGGAGGGTGATGGCATAGTTTAAACTCAGCCAGTCTGTGTCAGGGTTCTGCTTGTCTGATTGTCTCTTCGCTGCTGAGTCTCAGACAGTGAGAAGACTTGATTTTCCTAACCAGTAGAGCAGTGGTGGGGGCGCTACAACATGAGGAGCTGTATAAAAGGTCGTGGCATTAGGAAGGTTGAGAAACTGTACTAGAGCAAATCAGAGTTCAGGTGTTGGCATCAGAGTGGTGAAATAAGGGGTTAGAACTTGATTGCTTTACCACACAAGCTTGTAACTGCATTTGGTCTTTCTTGTGTGGACCAGCAAATGACATTGGAATATAAATGCTTAGCTGTTTTTCACTGTATTTATAAACATTAAAGAAAAACAAAAAAAGAATACTGTTTTCCTAGTCCCTAAAATTGTGAACGTGATGTTTTTTCCTATTGTCATTTGTTTTTTGGGAATTGAATTAAGGCATTTTATAAGCTGATCAGTTTTGAAAAGTGAGTCAGAATAATTTGAACTTTCCTGATTTGAGAGGAAAATTCTTCATTGGGGATAGTTTGACAAAGAATGATTTAACTTTCTAATTCATCTCGAAGAGAATTACCTTTAGGTATCTTATAATAACTATAGATTAATGCTGTATCTGATGTGAGATCTTGGGTTGATTATATTTAATTCTTTTCAGGGCTTTAGGAAGTAAACTTAGTAAAATTACTTGTTTAAACATACTCTTCCAGATTGCTGATTTACCAGCTGAGGTTTTTAAGACCAAAACTTACATGTTTATGTGTGTATATGATTGTCTAAAAATGTTAATATCGGGAGGTGTGTTACAGCTTAATCTCACTGTCCGTCAGTATCATCCCTTATACGTCCTTTATGTGACTTTTTACCCGCTTCTCCCCCTTTCCCCCTGCAGTCAGGGGAGAGAGACCCTCTTTCTTAACTGGCCTTTTTTTGGGGAGGAGGATTGATTTTTATTGCACTAGTAATGGTTTCCAATATTTTGATTAGGAATTGGGATACACCTACGTGGAACTGAATGCAAGTGATACTCGGAGTAAGAACACTTTGAAGGCAGTTGTTGCCGAATCACTGGACAATACCAGCATCAAAGGCTTTTATTCAGGTATGTGGCTTCACTCTGGGTAGAGTGCTGTGGCATCATGCTCATAGCAACCTCCAACTCCTGGGCTCAAGAGAGTCTCCTGCCTCAGCCTCCCAGGTAGCTGGGACCACAGGCGCCCGCAGCAATGCCTAGCCATTTTTTGATTGCAGCCATCATTGTTGTTTGGCGGGCCCGGGCTGGGGATACGAACCCGTATGTGGCTTTTTGAACTGTTTTTTGTTGTTGTGTAAGAAAAGTAAGTTAATTTCAACCTTTAATAACCAGTGTAGCCAGTTTTGAACACTACCACGTGCCAAGCATCCTGCTGAATCCTGGGGCTGACACAGAGTAAGAAAGGGTTTGTGTTGCTCAGAAGGGCAGTACTTTTTTTTTTTTTAAGGTCTTAGAGGTTTCTGAGAATGTAATAAAAGTGTATAAATGTGCATATTCATGTACTCTGTATATGATTGTAGAGGATTCACAGGTGAATCTTGTAAAGAGGAAAGGAAGACAAACGACTGTAATATAGTGTGATGGGTGAGGTAATAAAGCTGTGGAGAAAGAACTAATTGTGTTTGAGACAGTGGAGTAAAAGGATGATGTTGTTTGACAGGCCTCAAAGAATGAGAACGGAAACGATTTGGGGGTAGTCAGGGACAACCTAGAGGCCGCGCCAGGAACAGGTAGTGGAGGGTTAAGAAGGCGCCGCAGGGAGAGTGCCCAGTGCTGCAGGCCGGAGCTCGCGGGCCAGGGCTCACGGGAAAACAAGATGCCCAAAGTCAGGGCTGCACAGTGGCTACTTAGAATTTATGATGCGTTGTTTTGTCACCTGAATTCTTAGTGCTTTCTGTGAGAGAAAATCTTTGTTCAAAAGTAGCTGCTCAGGAATTGTTACTCTTATATGTGGCTGGTATAAGAATGTAAGTTGATACAACTCTGGAGAACAGTCTGGCAGGATTGCTCAGAGTTTATCCTATTTTTTAAGTCAGAGGTCCAATGCCTGGAATTTAGCTGTCATTCTACTTGTATATGTGTAAAATGACATATAAACAGAGGGTTCCAAAAATGTATACATACTTTACAAAAGGAAAAGCTTGTATTAAAATTGTAATAATATATGCCAATAACAAAACATGAATAAAAGTCACGTTAAGCACCTCTTGTAATTGCAGAAGTCAAACATGACTTGAGTATTACAAATTTAATATAGTTTTTCTTTTTTTTTTTGAGACAGAGTCTCACTATGTCGCCCTTGGTAGACTGCCGTGGAGTCACAGCTCACAGCAACCTCAAACTCTTGGGCTTAAGTGATTCTCTTGCCTCAGCCTCCCAAGTAGCTGGGACTATAGACGCCCACCACTAATGCCCGGCTGTTTTTGGTTGTAGTTGTCATTGTTTAGCATGCCCGGGCTGGGTTCGAACCCAGCAGCCTTGGTGTATGTGGCTGGTACTATAACCACTGTGCTACGGGCGCTGAGCCTTAATATAATTTTTTCTTTGCTTAAGATATGTATACTTTTTTTGATACTCTCTGTGTATAGACATCTATATAAAAAGATACTCATTTAGTATGACTTATAAGCCGAAGCTTAGATGCATTCTAATTTCATTAGTAGTGATTAAATAAATTATGACACATGTATAAAATAGAATATTGAATTGCCTTAAAGTGTTCCATGTGTATAGATAAAGAACAAATCATCAAAATATATCTAATGACTAAACTATATCAAATCATCAAAATATATCAAATGGGGCAGCTCTTGTAGCTGAGTGAGTAGGGCACTGGCCCCATATACTGAGGGTGGCAGGTTCAAACCTGGCCCCGGCCAAATTGCAACAACAACAAAAATTTGTGGGTGTGGGTGTGTATATATATATATCATGGTGTATTTGTATATACACTTGTTTTTGGTATGTATCTCTTAAAGGATGCCTGAGAGACTGCTGTTTGCCTCTGAGAAGGGAAGCTGGGTGTGCCAGGGAAGGAGTGGGAGGGAGAATTCTTTTTCTCTGCATACTTGTGTGAGGCTTTTGAAGTTTACTATGCTTTATATGTAATTTTTTACAAAGCAGGTTTTTGAACAATTATTTTGCTTTTGTCCCATCCCCTTACCCCCGACCTGGGACAGGTGGAGCAGCCTCTTCAGGAAGCATGAAGCACGCCCTCCTCATGGACGAGGTGGACGGCATGGCAGGCAGTGAGGACAGGGGAGGGATTCAGGTACGCAGCGAGGGGGGGGGGCTTAGTTTTGCAGTTTTACCATGGATTTTACATTTTTACACCATTTAATTATCATATGCTGATATGTATGGCAATTAATAAATGAAACTTTTGAGGAAGTTTTTTTTTTTTTTTTTACCTTTTAGTAGTATCCAAGTGTTCTGTTGCTTGGGAATTTTTTTTGTTGCTTGGGAATTTTTTTTTTTTTAAATAGCAAAAATAGTCCACAGTTTGTTTGTTTGTTTTTTTGAGACAGAGTCTCACTGTGTCGCCCTCAGAGTGCCATGGCATCACAGCTCACAGCAACCTTTGACTTTTGGGCTTAAGCAATTCTCTTGCCTCAGCTTCCTAAGTAGCTGGGACCACAGGTGCCCACCACAACACCTGGCTATTTTTTGTTGCAGTTGTCATTGTTGTTTAGCTGGCCCTGGCTGGGTTCAAACCAGCCAGCCCTGGTGTGTCTGGCTGGTGCCATAACCACTGAGCTATGGGCACGGAGGCAGCCCACAGTTTCTTTAGCTTATAGTTCTTCTAAAATTGAAAATAGCTCAGAAGGGCTTTGAAACCTAAAATACAACGTGTGGTATTTGTTATTTATTTATTTATTTTTTGAGACAGAGCCTCAAGCTGTCCCTCTGGGGCATCACAGCTCACAGCAACCTCCAACTCCTAGGCTCAAGCGAGTCTCCTGCCTCAGCCTCCCAAGTAGCTGGGACCACAGGTGCCCGCCACAATGCCTGGCTATATTTTGGTTGCAGCTGTCATTGTTGTTTGGCAGGCCCGGGCTACATTCGAACCCGCCACCTTAGGTGTATGTGGCTGGCGTCTTAGCCGCTTGAGCCACAGGTGCCGAGCCAGTATTTGTTGTTTTTACTTATTTATTTTTTTATTGTTGGTGATTCGTTGAGGGTACAAGAAACCAGGTCACACTGATTGCATTTGTTAGGTATAGTCCCTCTTACAGTTGTGTAAGAATATTGTGATTTTTTAAATAATTATTTTTGTGTTGCAAATTTGCCTTCTAGGAATTAATTGGCCTCATAAAACATACTAAGATCCCCATTATATGTATGTGCAATGATAGAAATCATCCTAAGATCCGCTCTTTGGTTCATTATTGTTTTGATCTTCGTTTTCAAAGACCTCGGGTTGAACAGATTAAGGTACGATGAATGGGATTGTTTACTATGAATGGGATTATTTTCCCATCACACCGCCCTGTGTATTTAAGGGTCAGTTTTTAAAAGTACCTAACAAATATTTTTAAAATATCTGATTGAGTTTTTTAAAAAATATTGAAGATTCTTCCCCTTGTTAATTTCAGGGTGCTATGATGTCTATTGCATTCAAAGAGGGTTTAAAGATTCCCCCTCCAGCTATGAATGAAATAATTTTGGGAGCCAATCAAGATATCAGACAGGTAAAATAAATATATATTCTGTGACAGTTGTGGATTCTGTTTAGTTAGCGTCTTCAGCCTTGCAGGGAGTGGGGGAATAGCAGTATTTTCCATCCTGACTTTGTCTTATTTGTGATTCTTTTAGGTTTTACATAATCTGAGTATGTGGTGTGCAGGAAATAAGGCGTTGACCTATGACCAGGCCAAGGCTGATTCTCATAGAGCCAAAAAGGATATCAAACTGGTAAGATAAATTTCTTAGTTACTTTCTCAAACCAAAATGCTTCTTGTTTTGCAGGTATTAATACATATAGTTATTGTAGTTCTTTGATATACCTATAGCGCTCATGGATGTTTATAATAAGAGCTATAGACTGCTGTTGGAAGTATTTCTATTTGATATGAATTTCTCCTCAAAGGTGTTGATGTGTATTATGCATTTTGAGAATGGGGTAAATTTTAATTCATACTCATGCTTTAGCTGTATAAAATGGCTTTTCCAGAGTTTCTGACATAATGGCTTTGTATTTTAAATGGTTCTGCACTCTTAATACTATTTCAGATCTTTTAGTTTAATAACCTCTCCCAAACTAGAGGTCTATGTCAGTTACCTCTGTGTTCCATTTTACCTAGTCACTAGTTAGAATTTATTACGTGAGTAATGATTAAGCAGATTAAAAAAAATTAATATAGTTTATATTTTAGAGCAGTTTTAGGTTCCTAGCAAAATTGAGTGGAAGATAGAGTTCCCAAGGACCTCTCCCCGCCCCAGTGTGCACTGCCTCTCTTGCTGTCAAGATCCCTCACCTCAGAGGCACGTCTTTTATAGTCAGTAAACCTGCACAAACACAGGCTCACCCAGAGTCCACAGTTCACAGGAGCCTGTACTCCTGGCAGTGTACCTTCCCTGGTGTTTAACACATGTACAGTGACACGTCCCTGCCGTTACGGTATCGTACAGAGTAGTTTACTTGCTGTGCAAGTCCTGTGTGCTCTGTCTCTTCATTCCTCCCTCTTGGTTAACCCCTGGCCGTCACTGATCATTTTATTGTTTCTGTAGTTTTGCCTTTTCCAGGGTATCCTGCAGTTGGAACCATCAACATGTAGCCTCTTCAGATTGGCTTCGTTCACCTAGTCATAGGCAATTGAGGTTGCTCCATGTCTTTTCATGACCCGACAGCTCATTACTTTCAATTATTTAATACTATTAGATTGTCTGGATGTGCCATAGTTTTTTGTCCATTCAAATACTGAAGAACATCTTGGTTGTTTCCAACTTTTTGCAATTATGAGTAAAGCTGCTATAAACATCTGTTTGCAGGTTTTTGGGTGGACAGCTGTCATTTTGGTAAATTAAGGAGGAGTATAATCACTGAATCATGTAGTAAGAGTATGTTTGGTTTTGTAAGAAACTGTTTAGCTGTCTTCTAAAGTGTCTATACCATTTTGCATTCCTGACAGTCATGATGAGAGTTCCCATTACTCCACGTCCTAGCCAGCATCTGGTTGGTAGTGTTTTGGATTTTGTTCATTCTAATGTGTGTGTCCTCCCTCTTTTTAGGGCCCATTCGATGTTGCCCGGAAAGTGTTTGCGGCTGGAGAGGACACTGCTCATATGTCACTTATGGATAAGTCAGATCTCTTTTTTCATGATTATTCAATAGCACCCCTGTTCGTCCAGGAGAACTACCTACATGTGAAGCCTGTAGCTGCAGGGTGAGTGTTCAGAGCTAGTATGGGGTAGGGCTAGTACCCTCCCAGTGCTGCGGAGGTCAAATACCTGGGTTGTGGAGAGTGTAATTCAGACTGGTTCTTTCCTGCAGGGGTGACATGAAAAAGCACTTGATGCTTTTAAGCCGAGCAGCAGATAGCATATGTGATGGTGACTTAGTGGACAGTCAGATCCGGAGTAAGCAAAACTGGAGTCTTTTGCCCACACAGGTAATGAAAGTGCAGACTCTGCTTTAGTTAAAGAGGACAAAATAGCTTTTAGTGCCTGTGATCATTTGAAATACCAGGTAAACAGTATGACTTTTGTAGCAAAAATCCAGTCTGTTAACTGACTGAAATACTCTGTAGTCTCTACTGTGTGACCTGGACTTATTTTCAGTGTTTTAAAAATGTTTTTATGTAAATGGACACATGGCAATTGGAAGGTTAGATTTTGGTTGTAAGTGAATCCAAAGATTCATTTGCTGTATTTTACTTTTTTTTTTTTTTTTGAGACAGAGCTTCAAGCTATTCTCCTGGGTAGAGTGCTATGGCATCACAGCTCACAGCAACCTCCAACTCCTGGGCTCAAGCGAGTCTCCTGCCTCAGCTTCCCAAGTGGCTGGGACCACAGGCGCCAGCCACAACATGTGGCTATTTTTTGGTTGCAGCCGTCATTGTTTTGGCAGGCCTAGGCTGGATTCGAACCTGCCCACCTTAGGTGTATGTGGCTGGCACCTTAGCCACTTGAGCCACAGGTGCCAAGCCTGCTGTATTTTACTTTAAGAATCCTTGTTTTGTGGGCAGGGGTGGTTCTTGGATCTCAGGTGGTCACTAAGTAGCTCCTCCTTGAAGACATGCGGCCAGGGCAACTGAGCAGCTGCCTCTCTGATGCAGGACTTCTGATTTTCTTCCTTACTGGAGACATTACTGGCCTGAGTTATAAGCAGGGGACTTGCAGGAGGCTGTGCCTCTCTTTTCCTTACACATTGTTTGAAATCAGAAATCAGAAACTCAGTGTAGAGATACAGAATCTTTTTTCTTATATTTTAAAAGTGGTTTTTTTTTTGAGAAAGAGCCTCACTACGTTGCCCTCAGTAGAGTGTGGTGGCGTTACAGCTCACAGCAACCTCAAACTCTTGGGCTTAAGTGATTCTCTTACCTCCGCCTCCCAAGTAGCTGGGACTACAGGTCCCCACCACAATGCCTGGCCATTTTTTTTTGTTGTTGTTGTAATGGTCATTGTTGTTTAGCAGGCCTGGGTTTGAATATAGACTTCCCATTCTTTAATCCCTCACTACGATTGGTTGTTTACATTGAAGACCATCTATTCCTCTTAAGCCAATTTTTGCTGTGACATTGGCATTCATGAGGTAACTGGCCTATTGAGATCAGATGGTTGACGAGGCTGACTTGGCATGAAGATCTCTCTGAGGGCCATAAATAGTGTGTATGGACCCAGCTGTGTCCTGCAATCTGTTGTCTTCTATGGGAGAAGTTTTCCACACCAGCAGGTCAGAGACAGGGAAAGGACCTGACTGCCCTGAAAGTGGGTACCTGGGACAGTCTTACTTCATTTTCTAGAATGCTTGGAAATCAACAGCTGCTAAGGGAGTAACTTTGTACTGAATATCAATTCTGGACTGCAGTTCATTTTTTTTTTTTTCTTCCTTCAGGCCATTTATGCCAGTGTTCTTCCTGGAGAGTTGATGAGGGGCTACATGACCCAGTTTCCCAGCTTTCCGAGCTGGCTGGGGAAGCACTCGTCTACAGGCAAACATGATCGTATCACTCAGGACCTAGCATTGCACATGAGTCTCAAGTGGGTAGTCTTGCTCCATTTCTGGCATTTTATTGGTGTGGTATATTTAGCTTTTAGCCAGGAAGAGTGGCAGGAGTCAAAAGATTTTAGTTTTGATTTTATTGCTCACTAGATAAATGATCCTGGATAATAAGTTCCTTATATTGTATGGGCCTGGGTTTTTATCATGTGTAGTCAAGTATAACAGTTGGCTTACCTCTTGAAAGATACTTTGGAGAATAAAGCCAGATGATAGATATCATAATTTTAGGATAAATTTTAAAGACTATATAAATCTGAGATAGTGCTATGATTTTTTGTTATTATGACTGTGCCTATTACTTGTGGAAATAACTTCAGCTTCAGAATCATAACAAGAAAAAATCGAACTATTTAAGTAAATGAACTAGTTTTTTACCTATTGTACTGATAACCAACATACTCATTTGGGATGAAGAATACAGTTTGGCGTGTAACAGGAGTTAGCCACTCAAGTAATTGACAACTAATGTGCTTGGAAAAGTTTTGAGGAGTTTAAAAATATTTATATTTTGTCTAATTTTGTTAAAATTTAGAAACTTGGAAAACGTGCATGGACATAATGAGTGAGTGACGCTGTGAAGAACTACTTGAGCAATCTTAATTCCCTTTTTGGTCTCTGGAGAAGATATTCTTTTTTTTTTCTTGAGACAGTCTCACTCTCTCACCCGGGGCAGAGTGCAGTGATTACTGGAGCTCACCGTAACCCCAGCTCCTGGGCTCAAGTGAGCCTCTCCTTGCCTCAGCTTCTGAGTATCTGTGGATAGAGGTGCATGCCCTGAAGTTCAGCTGATTTTTCTGTTTTTAGTAGAGATGAGGTCTCCCTCTTGCTCAGCCTGGTCTTCAACTCCTGAGCTCAAGCAATCCTCCTGCCCCATAACTTTTTTTTTAGACAGAACCTCACTATTTTTAGAGATGGGGCCTTGTTCTAGCTCAGGCTGGTCTTGAGCTCATGAGCTTAGATGATCCATTGCATCAGCCTCCCAGAGTGGTAGGATCTCAGGTGTGAGCCACCACATCTGGCCTCACTCATAACTTTTGGTTAGAGCTGAACTGGGCAAGTTCCTTTTTTTCCTTATAATTCTACTTCCTATTAAGTCTCCTCTTCCTAGCCTATGCCATAAGTGTTTTTTGCTGCCTATATATTAGTTTTCTGTAGCTGCTGTAACAAATTACCACAAACATAAGAGTTTAAATTCAAAGCAATACAAACATTGTCATCTTGAACTGAGAAGATTATTTTGGGTTATCTGGGTGTGCCCAGAGTAATCACCAGTGTTCTTAGGAAAGGGGGGCAGCGGGGTCAGAGTTAGTGAAGATGCTACTCACCTGGCTCAGAGGTTGGGGAAAGGGACCAAACCAAGGAAAGCAGGTGCCCCCTGAAAGCTGGCAAAGGCTGCATTTCTCCCATCTTCTCATTGGCAGGGTTGAATGCCTGCCCCCATTTTTAAAGGTCACGCACCCTCTGCCCTAGGGGAGTCCCTCTTGGTTGTGTCCACTGTATTCCTTAGGGACATCAGATGGCACCATGAGACTTCTGGGTTTAATGCTCTGTAATTCTTTTTTTTTTTTTTTTTGAGATAGCCTCAAGCTATCACCCTGGGTAGAGTGCTATGGCATCACAGCTCACAGCAACCTCTAACTCCTGGGCTTAAGCGATTCTCTTGCCTTAGCCTCCCAAGTAGTTGGGATTACAGGTGCTCACCACAATGCCCAGCTATTTTTTGGTTGCAGTTGTCATTGCTGTTTGGCAGGCTGGGGCTGGATTCAAACCCGCCAGCTCTGGTGTATGTTGCTGGCACCCTAGCTGCTTGAGCTACAAGCGCAGAGCCAAGCTCTGTAATTCTGTTAGCAGATGGCCATATTGTAACAAATTGTAAGGGAATAATCTTAGAACATGGTTCTGTGATTTTCTTGTGTACTGTGGTTAGGGACTTACACTACTTTAGGTACTTGTGAGCTTGATTATGGAAGACTAAATCTAGAGGAAATGGGTGAAATTAAAATAGAGTTTTAAAAAACTGTCTAGGTAATAAAACATGAGGGCAGATTTTAGATTTCTGACAAGAACTGTGTATTTTCTTGTGGTGAAGACATTCAGTTATCTGAAGACAGGAGCAGGACCCATAGGTAATTGGTAAAGAATCATTTCTTTTCTGATTCTGATGTGGGTTCTGATGACAATAGCTTTTGAGATTTCTTGTTTAAAATATGTGTATGTAGATATAATTGTTTGGTTTGAAGGGAGGGAGGAATCACCTGGCTTGGAAAGGTTTAGGATGGTGTGGCATTTGAAATAATATTTTGTTCAGTTATTTTCTGTCTATAAGAAATGACAACATTTATAAGAGAGAAAGAGAGTAACATTCTTATTCTTAGCAGATCAGAGACTGTTTCCCTAGTCTATTCCCCTGGTCAGTATGGATCACTTTTTGATTGTGCAGGAACATTCTCTGCCATTTTCCTAGATTAGGAGAAAACCTTGCCCCGGAAACGGAAGATTTCAGAGTAACACTATTAGGACCTGTGAGGGAAACATTCCTATGTGATACTGTTAGTCGGAGGGTAACAGGTGTTCAACAAATGGAAGTAGTGGCTGCATCACATGAGGCTGGAAACTTCCTTGTCTTTTACTGATGCTTTTAACATTTTGCAACTTAAAGTAATCTCTATGGCTGTAACACATGCGAACATGAGAGACACACTGCTGTTGCCTGGGCCTTAAGAGTAGGATGGAAGCAGAACTCACATTTATTTTTTCAGTCACTAATCAGGCAAGTAGAAAATTCCCTTTGAGCACATTGATATGTCTCTGTTACCTGGGTGGTGCAGTGCTGGACTTTCCCCATACCAGCTGGCTGTTAAAAGTAGGCAGCCCACTGAAGATGAGACCCCAGGGCAGCAACTGTGGCTCAGTGAGTAGGGTGCTGGCCCCATATACCGAGGGTGGTGGGTTCAAACCCGGCCCCCGCCAAACTGCAACAAAAGAATAGCCGGGTGTTGGGGCGGGTGCCCGTAGTCCCAGCTACTCTGGAGGCTGAGGCAAGGAGTTCACCTGATCCCAAGAGTTTGAGGTTGGTTTGAGCTGTGATGACACCATGGCATACTATCCAGGGAGACAGAGTGAGACTCTGTCTCAAAAGAGAAAAGAAAAGAAATTGAGCGCTACCTGATTAACTCTGTGTTGGCTTGGTGATAGTCTGCCTTTGATGACAGGTGTGTCTCTTTTGTTTTGGTTTCAGAACTTACTCCAGCAAAAGGACTGTAAACTTGGATTATCTATCACACCTGAGGGATGCACTTGTGCAGCCCTTGACCTCACAAGGGGTAGAAGGAGTCCAGGATGTTGTTGCACTTATGGACACGTATTATTTGATGAAAGAAGACTTTGAGAATATCATGGAAATTAGCAGCTGGGCTGGCACACCTAGTCCCTTTTCCAAGCTGGATCCCAAGGTAAACTGTGTAACCCACTAGCACTTGTCCTCTGTCACCTGGTAATCACCAGGTTTGTACTTGGAGAGTTCAGAGATATTATAGATGCTTTAAAAAAGTTTCTTTTTTTCCTCCGTTAAATGGTCTGGCTTCCTATGGCCTATGCTTTCTAAAGGTACCATTTGTGTAATAAGAGTAGATGTCTGGATTTGACTTTACAATGTGTATTTTTACCTTTGCTGCCTGCTCAGTGGAAAAATCAAAAAGTGAAATCTGAAGAGCAAATATAAAAGTATTCCTTACAGGGTGGGGGAGGAACCTGTGCGGTTCAAAGTGAGGTGTGCTGGTATGGATTAAGAAAATCAAGATGTGTCTACCGGCTGAGGATTTTTGGTCATTTTTTTCTTTTTATTAGTCTATTTAGTCTATAGATTCAGTATCCATTCCAATTGGACAATCCATGCGATACTGTATCCCCTGTACTGATTTTGTAACGAGCATGAAGATGCTACAGTGCTGTGGTCTGAACACGCAGTACCGAGGGCCTGGCTCTGTGCCTGCCTGTTGGAGGCTGTTTTAGAAGATGTGTTCTCTGTAGTTTGCCCAATTCGAGCTCACTTAATGGTGATCAGTAAGTTCTCACAGCAACTTACTGATTTGTAAGGTCTCTCACAGCAGACATCTGTCGTTAGAATTCATGGACTGACTTTGGAATTATGTGTATAAGTTTGAAGTTAAGACTTTTCAAGTTAGTATTTTGAAATAACTACTGTTATTAAAGGTAACTTATGTGTTTTGTGGCTTTAAAAGCCAAGTTCTACCTAATTATGAGCCCTTTTTTATTGAAGTTACTTGTTTGTAGAAATGTGGGAATGCTGAATAGGTCAAAATTATTTTTATTTATTTTTATTTTTTTGAGATGGAGCCTCAAGCTATCCCCCTGGGTAGAGTGCCGTGGCATCATGCTCACAGCAACCTCCAACTCCTGGGCTCAAGCGAGTCTCCTGCCTCAGCCTCCCAAGTAGCTGGGACTACAGGCGCCCGCCACAACGCCTGGCCATTTTTTGGTTGCAGCCGTCATTGTTGTTTGGCGGGCCCGGGCTGGGGATTCAAACCCGCCACCTTGGGTGTATGTGGCTGGCGCCTTAGCCGCTTGAGCCACAGGCGCCGAGCCCTGAATAGGTCAAAATTATTTGAAGTGATTTTGTTTGTTTGTTTGCCTAAAGTTCCCAAATACTGATTCCTAATCTTTTTTGAATTATGGGCTCTATTAAGAATGTCATGAATATGGAACTTCTCCCTAGAAAAATGCATACACTGGCTGGGCGCAGTGGCTCACAGCTGCAGTCTTCGCACTCTGGGAGGCTGAGGTGGACAGATTGCTTGAGCTTTGGGGTTTGAGACCAACCTGATGAAGAGTGAGACCCCATCTCTACGAAAAATAGAAAAACTAGCCAGGTGTTTAGGCAGGAGTCTATAGTCTCAGCTACTTAGGAGGCTGAGGCAGGAGGACTGCTGAAACTCAGGAGTCTGAAGTTACTGGGAGCTATGATGACGCCATGGCACTCTAGCGTGGGCAGTAGAGTCAGTCTCTGTCTCAAAAAAAAGTGCATATACTTATGTTTGCATAAATATTTTATGAATAGTTTTAAGGGGCTTGCAGAACCTCCTTTTAGGTTTGTAGAATTGAAAATAATAATTTGGTGCTTAGACTTTTTTTTGGAGACAGTCTTAAGCCATTGCCCTGGGTAGAGTGCCGTGGCATCATAGCTCACAGCAACCTCAAACTCAGGTTTGTGATCACTCAGGCAAGTGATCTCTTGCCTCAGTTTTTCTATTTTTAGTAGAGATGGGGTCTCACTTTTGCTCAGGCTGGTCTTGAACTCGTAAGCTCAAACAGTCCACCTGCCTCGGCCTCCCAGAGTGTTAGGATTATAGGTGTGAGCCACTGCATGTGACCCTTAGATTTAAAAAAAAAACGTTCTCCATTCCTTTCTTATAGGTGAAAGCAGCCTTTACGAGAGCTTACAATAAGGAAGCCCACCTTACTCCATATTCACTTCAGGCAGTAAAGACATTGAGACACAGCACAGGCTCATCCCTGGATTCTGAATATAATGAAGAGTTACATGAGGATGACTCTCAAGCTGATGAGAAAGACCAGGATGCTATAGAAACTGATGCTATGATCAAGGTAGTGTCTTAAGCTGCAGATAGGAGACCCCAAGAGTAGATGATCTTTTCTTATTCATAACGTGCCTTGTGAACAATGGGGCCTGTTTAGCAAGTAGCAGCGTAAGTTGAAAATACTTGGTTTTTGTCACAGTTGAAGGTGGAGCAGGAATAGATTTCATTTTTATAAACAGCTTCTTATAGTGATGGAAGAGCCAAATACCAAGAACACAGACCATTGTATTTGTGACCATATGTTATGTTAGAAAAAGTTCCATTTTTATTTATTTAGCCCTTGGTATATGCTTTCTTATCTATGGACACACATTTCCATGGCATAATTAAGGATAATATTTTTAACAAAACCGTTTCTCCCTTCTATTGTCCATACTTTGCTCCAACCGTCAAACTGCTTGTAGAAGTTTCTGAGTGTCAGGTGTCCTTGTTTTTTGCTAGGAGAGATTAAAATTAGTTGTGGGATTGGTCCACAAATGGCTGAGGTAATTAATGGTCTGTCTCCTCTCTCCCTGCTCTGTCTGCTGCTTGCCCTTCATTTCTCTGTGTGTGCAGGGTCAGGAACAGTGGCCTTCTCCATTGTCGCTCTCATGGAGACCTGAGAGGTTGTCTCCCTCTCTTTCTCTTCCCCAAAATGGCCATGTTTAGGCCTCTAACCTGGAACTGAAAGGAAATTCTTCATGTAAACATCGTATTTGTAAATTACGTCTTGCTTATTTTGTCTTTCCTAAATATACCTATGTTTTACCTCCAAGAAAACTGCCTTATATGGGAACATACTTTATTTCTAGATAGTTTTTCAGTTTTTTTTTTTTTTTTTTTTGAGACAGAGCCTCAAGCTGTCCCCCTGGGTAGAGTGCCGTGGCATTACAGCTCACAGCAACCTCCAACTCCTGGGCTCAAGCGAGTCTCCTGCCTCCGCCTCCCAAGTAGCTGGGACCACAGGCGCCCGCCACAAGGCCCGGCTATTTTTTTTTTTTGGTTGCAGCCGTCATTGTTGTTTGGCGGGTCCGGGTTGGGGATTCGAACCCGCCACCTTAGGTGTACATGGCTGGCGCCTTAGCTGGTTGAGCCACAGGCGCTGAGCCAGTTTTTCGGTTTTTACTGCTAGCATTTAAAGCAGTGACCAGCCCAGTTGTTGCTGGAAAGTAAGCTGCTCGGGGCAAGCAATAGCCTGAGATACAGATGTTGGCGACCTCTCTTCTTTTTAAATTAACTTGCAGGTAAAGATTAGATTTATTGCAGTGATGAACTTACTTCATTTACTCATAAATATTAACTATTTTGTACATCTTTTATCCCATCAACAGAGAAAGACAAAATCTTCAAAGCCTTCAAAACCAGACAAAGATGAGTCCAGAAAAGGAAAAGGGAAACGTTTGAAGAAATGAAACTATTTTTCCCTACCTTCCAGTAGCCACTTTTTACTCACCTTTCAGATCAATCAAGCTGGTGTAGAGAAAACCTCACTTTTCCCAGAGCAACCATGTTTTAGCTTAATGGTAAGACCTGGTGGTCCCCATTATAAATAAAGGGCAATGCAACTAGAAGGATGCAACTGATTGGCTCACGTACACCTCTTATAGAGGTCGACAGGACTGCTTGCGTCCTCTGCTGTCCCATCAATCCAGTTGCAGTGTGTATAATTGGAACTAGAAACTATATGCAGGTTTTGGAGTCAGTGGCATGAAGGTGTCTTTTGTAGACATAAGAATTTATCCTAATGGCCTTTATGGGACCAATTCTGATACATTTTTTAGAGGGAGTTCCTATTATGTGGTGAAATTTTGTAAATAAATCGTATTACAAAACACCACCTAAAACCGGGTATTCTTTATATGCTGCCAAATATCTTGCAAAGTATGCATTAGGAATGAAAATGTTCCATGTAACACATGTACAAATTCTTAATATTGCGTTGGTATATTACTTTCCTTACTCTCATTTGCACACGATGGGATAAAAAAGCTTATCCCTTACTAACCAGTTGCGTGAAACAGAACATTGGCGGTTGAAGAGTCAGAACTCTATTCCGTGAGCACTGACCACATCTCTGCTGCGAACAGGATTTCATGGAGAGGCCTCTGTTGTTGTTACTAGAGGGGGCAGGGGACTGTGGAACATGACATTCTTATCCTGGAGTCTCAACCTATCAGGTTCAAGCAAGTAGGGCCCAGACTGGGTCAGAGTCTTAGGGCTCACTCTGTCATGTGACAACATTGGCTTTTGTTCACTTGGTCCCTGGGAGATCTGGCCCTGTCCTATGGTTGATTCCACAGACCCCAATGGAACTTTAGATTGTTCCTGTACTTGTTGTGTGGCCCTGAGGCTGTGCATCTAGCCAGCTGTTTTTTAATCTTGGCGGTAAATGCTCAGAGGTACGTGCCGTGCTGCCTCTGTGAGGTATGTGCTAAAGGGAATGTAAATAAGGATGGTATTCCCTGCCTGCCTTTAGGAGAGGAGGGATAAAGTGCCTGAGACATTTAAAGTCTATTTACCAGTGTGGAAAACGCCCTTTGTGGAGGTTAATTCATTATGAAAATAAAATGTTTCCTTAAAGCCTTTGCCTACTGAGTCATGCCCTTCTCTTTGTTAAAGCCAGACTTGAAACTTTTCTGCTTTAGTAACAGTTTCTTCCCCAGTGGGGTGAGGGTGGTTTTCTTATGCATAGTCTTCCATCTGTTACTCCTGGATATGCAAGGCTGGTTTGCCCCATCCCTGGACACACCAGGACAGGGACTGTAATTTACTCATTGCCCTCGTTCATTATGATTCTTTTAATTTTAAAAGCTCAGAACACAAGACTGGCACAATGTGTATAAAACAGCATTCCTTTTACAATCAGAAATTATAAATATGCCCTTTGATACCTGTGGGTCTGTTTGATTCCTCTTTGAAGTGCCTGTGACCAGGAGGTTAAGTGGCAGGTGGCAGTTGGTGGTTCCACAGCAGTTTGGGTATGAATCTGAATGTTCTGTATTGGGATTGAATTGTCATTGGAGCCCCTTGGTGTCGCGCATCTCTGTAGCATAAAACTACACATGTGTTGTTTTCAAGATGGAGTCTTGGGCTGTTTTGTTGTCCGTAACAAATTATTCAACTTTATCTTTCATCGTGTTGCTGGGGCCAGCCCCTTGAAATTGTATCATCTGATTTCACTCAGAGTTGACTCCGTGACTCATTTCTGTCAGCTGTACAGACATGGTGGTGACATTTTCATTTTTTTTAACCGCTTGAATTCCTTTTTACCTGGTGATTTTCAGACATCTGGTGAGGTTGGCCTTGGATCGCAAGGAAGCTTGTACTATCAATGTTGGAATGTGTGTGAGCTATGGAGGAAGTAACCTTCATACAGCCTTGGATAAGATTTCAAATGATGTATTATGTTTTCAGGGGAAGTCAGGAGTTTAATTTTGTGACAGGAATTCCATAGTGTGCAGTAGAATGACTCAACAGATACAAGCTTTTACTTTCACTCATTCCTTCAAAAATTGATTTTTGGTTCTGGGACTGATTCTGCTATTTAGCCTTAATGTATATAAATGTCTAATTTCAGGCTTTTAAAACTATTAACCCTGTTCAAACTTGATAGTGCTTCAAAGCTACCATCTTTTATCTCTCAAGACAGGGCTTTACCCCAGTGCCCAGGCTAGAGTGCCATGGTGTTAGCCTAGCTCACTGCAACCTCAACTCCTGGGCTCACGCCTCCTGAGAAGCATGGACTCCAGGTCCTTGACATCGTGCTGGGCTAAATTTTTCGTAGTCACGGGGGTCTTGCCAAGTTGCTCCAGGTTGCTGTAGAACTGGCCTCCCGCAGTGCTAGGATTAGAGACGAAAGTCTCTGTGCCCCTCCTTTTTTGTCTCTAGATCCAGGAAGACGCCACACCTATCTAGTCAACAACTTTATTTTAAAGGCACTACTTCAAAATATAAAAGTTATCAAAACCGAATATTTACAAGTATGTCGTAAGATTATTAACATTGCAGAACAAAGTCTCTGAGACTTTGAAGAGGAAATATACAAAATACAATGAACAGCAAGTTTGGGAGGTGCTCTTGGCCCTCCGCAGAGCTGAAAGTGCTGCCCTGGAGGGGGCACCTTTGTTTTCGTTTTTCTGTATCCAGGAAGGACCATCTCTTAAATCCACCAGCTGGAAACACGGCCTCCTGTGAAAAATGCCTTCTGAGGAGCACTATATCTAGAAAGGACAAACAAAACACTTTGAAGGCTTTTAAAAGGGTTTCAAGTAATGACTGGCATTTGATGATAAAGCCAAGTACTAAGAAGGAATTTTGCTCATCTCAGGAAACGTGGAGCAGGAATGCTGCATAGAAGCTATAAATCTTCAGTTTGTAATTGATACTGCATGTGATAACTGCCAAAAGTTGTGTGGGCATGCGGAGCCTTCACTGTACAGTGAGGGTGCTGTTCACCACCTCAGAGTGCTCAGCAAACTAGAGAAAAAGGTCCCTGAAATTAAACAGTTACTGGCTCTTTAAAAGGAGGCAGTGAACGATAGCTTCAACCAACAGTCACTGTATGACAGATTTTTTGTTTTAAAGAGGCATTCTCACTGTACGGCTCACACTGGCGTGTGATCATGGCAGCCCCAAACTAGGGCTCAGTGATCCTCCTACTTCAGCTTCCTGAGTGGCTGGAACTACAAGTTATATGCCACTGCACCCAGCTATATCAGAAGACAGTACATAATCATAACTCACTGAAGACAAACCTCCCACCACGTTATGACATACCAGAATCTAGGGCAGTGATTTTTCAACTGCTATGCTGTGAAAATTTTTAATACATTATTATACATTATAATAATACATTATTTACTTTTTTTTTTTTTTGGTCAACATTAAGTGTGCTGTAGAAGTTTATAGGCTTAAAGGTTGAAAAACACTAGTTTAGGAACTTGAGATTTTCTATAAATTGTCTTAACAAAATAGGATTCTACTTTCAGAAGTGGTAGAGAGATTCATTATTAGATATACTAATAGATAATACTATTAGTAATATTTTAATACTACTATTATAGATAAATTATTATCAGATAATAGTTATAAACTTTAGACAAAATCTGAAATAATTGTACTTAGAAGAAGGGTCAGTTAACTTTAGAATAGAGATGAAAGAACTTAAGTGACCTCTGGATTTCAAGTGGTCAGGCACAAGAGTTTAGGAAAGAGAAGTTAGAAAGGGACAGAAAGAGGACTTGAAGAATAAATGACTCAGTGTCCAAATTGAGGGGGAAAGAGAGGAGGTGGGGTGGCGACTCACGCCTGTAAGCCCAGTGCTTTGAGAAGCTTACTCGAGACCAGGAGTTCCAGATCTGCCTGTGGTAAAGATTAGCCAGGTGTGGTTACATGCCTCGAGTCCTGGTTACTTGATAGGCTGAGGTGGAGGATACAGTGAACTATGATTGTGCCACTGTACTTCAGCCTGGGCAAGAGAGCAAGATCTGTCTCTAAAAAAAAGTAGAATGCAGTGGCATCATCATAGCTCACAGCAGCCTCAAACTCCTGGGCTCAAGGGATGCTGAGACTAGCAGTGTGTGCCCAGCTATTTAACTCCCTCTAAAATCCCTTTGTCATTCAATGAAACCTCTTATTCACAATCCCTGCCCAACTCAAGGAAGTTGGGTGCCCAGCTATTTTTTTTTGTTATAGAAATGGGGGTCTCACTTTTGCTCAAGGTGGTAGACCTGTCTCTAAATAAGCCTTGAAAAAAATTCGAAAACCACATTTTGGCAAGTATTACAGTAAAAAAAAAATTGTTTTGGGGACAGTCTTATTCTTCCAGGGTGGAGATAGAGCTCACTGCAAACTTCTGGGCTCAAGCAGAAGCCTCCCAAGTAGCTGGGATTACAGGCATGCACCATCACATTCAGCTCTTCGTTTTCTATTTTTAGTAGAGAAAGGTTCTCACTTTTCCTCAGGCTGGTCCTTCAACTCCTGACCTCAAAGCAGTCCTCCCACCTCACTCTCCCCAAATGCTAGGATTACAGCATGAGCCATTGGACCTGACCTAGTACAAATTCTGAAAACTAGGAACAAAGAGAATGCCTTCAGTGTAGCCAGAGAGAAAATAATATATACATGGAAACTGACAAACTTTATAACAGTGGAGACAAATATATTTAGAAAATCAACTCAGAATTCCATATGAAATAAAAACACTCTTCAAAATTAACAGTCACCAGCAAACCTGCACTTGCAAGACATTAAAGGAAGTAACACTGAGTGGAAACTTGGATTCAGAAAAGCAAGAATAACATGGAAATTGTAAGTATGTGGGTGAATAGAAAGCTATTTTTTTGTTGTTGCTTTTAAAAATGTGACTGAAGAAAGATGACCCATTGAATTATAGTGTTTATATGGATGTGGATGTATACAACATGAGCCACATTAAAAAAGGGAGGAAAAGTCAGTAGAATCAAATGAAATACTAATAGCCAAATAGCAGGAAAACAAGTAACAAAATGACATGAAATTATAGATTACAGCCCAAGATCCCTCAGAAACAGACATATCTTATGTGCTACTTTTCCTTGAGTTGGTGAGGTTTCATTGAATGACAAAGGGATTTTAGAGGGAGTTAAGGCCCCCACTGAGATGACTGATTTAATCCAGAGAGTCAGGTGAGCCCTTTTTGAGAAGTCCCAACTTTCCCTGAAGGAGAAATGCTCTCATGCAGGACTTAAGGCACAGTTTTGTGGGGTGGGAGGCCATGCATCAAAAAATGGGTCTAGGAGCTGAAGGCTTCAGTCTGCTGGCCATAAAGGACAAATAGCCTGGAAGATGACTTCAGTCCCCAGATGATAATGCAGCTCCACCCACCATGACTCGAGCCCTGTGAGACCCTGAGAGGACCCAGCGTCTAGACTACTGACCAGTAGAAACTGTGAGATAAATGTGTGGTGTTTAAAGTTGCGATCACTTGTTAGCAACTAATGAGTCCCAATCATAATTAAATAGAATTTGAGAAGCCGATTCTAAAATTGTGTACAGAGAAGCAAAGTATCCCCCCATAATCTTGGACAGTGTGGCAGGAGAGCCACGATACTTTAAGACTTGAAAGAAGCCACACAGTAAAATGGTAAAATGAGGGAAAGACAACTTTGGCAAAGGGGAGGGCCCAGAAATAGACCCACACTTAAAATGCGATTGATAAGGGCTCTCAGTTCAGTGCAAGAACTGAACTAGAAGACTAGATGGCTATTTGAGAGGGAGAAGCAAAAAGTATTTTAAGATGGATTATAGACCCAGAGCTTCTAAAAAAAAGTACCTGACTTTTGAGTAGGTAAAAACCAAAATAATTTTAAACTTAGGATGCAGAAACCAATAACTATAAAATTTAAAAATTATACTTCATCAAAATAAAAATTTCTTCAAGACACCATTCAGAACAAGGGAAGCCATGGAGAGGGAGAAAATATTTTCAAAACATTTGAGCTGTAGAAGTTATTCCTGCTACATGTTCTTTGTCAAACAGAAAAACAAGGCCAATGGGGAAAGAGTCTTTCCAACAAATGGTGCATATCCAAAAATTTAACAGATCA